TTAGCCATAAAAAGAATGAAATCTTGCCCTTTGAAACAACATGGATGGACCTTGAGTATATTATCCTAAGCAAAATAAGTCAGATGGGGAAAGACAAATACTGCGTGATTTCCCTCATATATGGAAAGTAAGAAAATAAATGAACAAACAAAACAAACTCATAGTTAGAGAAAACAGAGTAGTGAGTGGTTACCTAAGTGTAAGGGAACTGGGGAGTGGATAAAATAGAGCATGGTGATGGTGGTAACTGTATGCTGATAGATGGTAACTGAACTTGTGGTGATGATCATTTGGTAGTGTGTGCAGATGTCGTTCTATATGAAGCTGTACACTTGAAAAATATACATACATATATGTACATATATATACATACAAGAAAGTTTTCTATGATTCCACTTACATAAAATATCTAAAGCAGTAAATCCAGAGAAACAGAAAGAAAGTAGAATGATTGTTACCAGAGGCTCAGGAGATGGGGAAAGGGGAATGGTCTTTTAATGGGTATAGAGTTTAAGATTTGCAAGTTGCAAAAGTTCTAGAAGTTTGTTTTACAACCATATGAATATACTTAACACTACTGCAATATACACTTAAGTATGCTTAAGATGGTCAATTTTTTTTCTGTGTATTTTTTAGCCATAGTAAAGACAAAGGCAAAAACAACTTACAACAAAGATACAAGAATCAAGACCGTATTAAACTGGCATCCAGTCATATGTCTAGGTCAATACAATAGAATTGAGAATTTATAAGTATACCCCTTATATTTACAGTCAGTTGAATTTCAACAAGGATGCCAAGATTATTCAGTGCGAGAAAGAACAGCCTTTTCAACAAATGGTGCTGGGACAAGTGGATAGCCACATGGAAAAGAATGAACTCAGATTTGTATTTCCTACCCTGAACAAAAATTATTGCAATATGGATTAAATATCTAAATATAAAAACTAACCATATAGCATTTTTAGAAAATATAGGAGTAAATCTTTCTGACTTTGGATTAGGCAATAATTTGTTACGTTTGACAATAAAAACAAAAGCAGCAAAAGAAAAAAAAACATAAGTTGGATTTCATCAAGATGAAAACTTTTTGTGCTTCAGACAATACTATCAAGAAAAGATAAACTACAGAATGGGAGAAAACATTTTCAAAGTATATATCTGATAAGGAGTTTTGTATCCAGAATATATAAATAACTCCTACAACTCAACAATAAAAGGCAAATGACTCAAGAAAAGGGCAAAGGATTTGAGTAGGCATTCCTTCAAAGAATATATACAAATGGGGCAGCCCTGGTGACTCAGCGGTTTAGTGCCACCTTTGGCCCAGGTTGTGATCCTGGAGACCCGGGATCGAGTCCCACGTCCGGTTCCCAGCATGGAAGGCGCTTCTCCCTCTGCCTGTGCCTCTGCATCTCTCTCTCTCTCTCTCTCTGTGCCTCTCATGAATAAATAAATAGAATCTTTTTTAAAAAGAAAAAAAAAGAATATATACAAATGGCCAATATGTGCATGAAAGGGCACTGAACATCATTAGTCATTAGGGAATTGCAAATTAGAACCACAAGATGGGAATTCATATCTATGAGACATGGCTAAAATAAAAAGGACATAAATGTTGGTATGGATGTCGAGAAATTGAAACTCACACCTCTAGTAGGGTGTAAACTGGTGTGGTCTGTTTAGAAAAAATTCTGACAGTTCCTCAAATGATTAAACATAGAGTTACTGTACGACCTAGCAAACCCACTCGTGAGTTATATATATAGGAGGAATGAAAACATATGTCTACAAAAACTTTACAAAAATATTTATAGCAACATTATTCATAATAACCAAAATGTGAGACTAGTCCAAGAAGCCATCAATTCTGAATGGATAATTTGGTATATTCACACAATGAAATGTCATTTGGCAATAAAATACTGATACTTGCTGAAAAATAGATGTGACTTTAAAAGAATATGGTAGATGAAAGAAGCCAGTCAAAAAAGGCCACATTTTATATGATTCCATTAATTTAGATGCAAATCCATGGGAATAAAAAGATTAGTGGTTGATAGGAGATCGGTACTGGGGATGGGAGGAGAAATATGAGACTGACTGCTAATGGATATGGGGTGTCTTTTAGGGTGATGAAAATGTTCTGAATATAGATAGTAATGATGGCTGCACAACTCTATTAATATATTAAGAATTACTGAATTAAGAATTCTAGGGGCACCTAGGTGGCTTAGTCAGTTGAGTAGTGGACTCTTGATTTCAGCTCAGGTCATGATTTCAGGGTTGTGAGATTGAGCCCCGAGATGGGTTGCATGCTCAGTGCAGAGTCTGCTTGTCCCTCTCCCTCCCCATTTGCCCCAACCCTGCCACTTTCCCTCTTGCTCTCTCAAGCAAATAAATAAATAAGTTACTGAATTGTATAACTCAAAAGAATAAATGTTATGTAGATTTTTTTTAATTTTTTTTTATTTATTTATGATAGTCACAGAGAGAGAAAGAGAGAGAGGCAGAGACATAGGCAGAGGGAGAAGCAGGCTCCATGCACGGGGAGCCCGATGTGGGATTCGATCCAGGGTCTCCAGGATCGCGCTCTGGGCCAAAGGCAGGCGCCAAACCGCTGCGCCACCCAGGGATCCCTGTTATGTAGATTATATTTCAATAAAACTAGTATTTGTAAAAAATTATAGTGAGTGGACACTCCATCATATAAAAAAATCAACTATTTTATTTCACTTTTTTTCTCCTAATAGTCGTAATTGTCTACTTTTCTATAGTTTTTTTCTCATGTAATATGTTTTTATACTTGGGAGTCCTTTATTGATTATTATTTGTTACTTATTTGTAACAAAAACTGTATAAACTGAAATGAGAGTTTTGATATCTCACGAGTATAATACTACAATGGTTTAAATATAAATCATTCAAGAAATTTTTGTTATGAACAATACAAAATTGTTACAAAGGATAATGTTACAAATATTTGAATTCACCAGATCACATGTTAAAGACAATTTTGATTTTTAAATGTTGGTTAAATCATGTCCACTTTTGATTTTGAGAATTGGAAACTGACTGGCTTGGGAAAGAATTTATTATGTAGTCCTTATTTAGTCATTTTCTCAGGTCTTCATAACTTAACCAGAAAGACCTTGTCAAGTCATATCAAAATGACTTAATAGTCATTGTTACTTTTTACCTTGAGGTACCTTTTTTGATCTGATACACTTGATAAGGATTTGGAAGGTTGAAATAATTTTGTTTTTCAATATAATGTTGAAATACTATGTTTTATTAAAGTTTCTGTGCTTTAAATAAATTTTCATCAGAACCTAGGGCTGCAGGTTTAACTTACTTAAATTATGGGAAGTATCTACCAAATAATTGGCAAAGCCAGTTTTCATTATTAAAGCATTCATCCAATCTTTCATGCCCTCTTCGCTGATGGAAGAGGCAAGGTTTTTAACAAAATTATTTAGCACTTTGACTACAATTAATTAGATGAGATTGGTTGGATGATTTGTTTCATGTTATAAAGCAGAAGAGCAGTTTTGAGAGGAGGAGTGGGAAGTGCTTACTTTTAAGGCATGTAGATGTATATGTTCCCAGGCAGATCTGTATTTTTGAAGTTAAGGTTTTGTATACATACTCTCTTAAAACTACCCATGGCTTTGCATCCTTTTTAAAGCCTTAATATTTTTCCTCAACTTGAAAATTAATGTTCCACCCCACTCTTAGTCTTTTCTGAAAAAGCCTCACAGAACATACTTTTATTTGTATGCATATTGTGTACAAGGATATTCATATGTTGGTACACTTCATTTCGCTTGGACCACATTTTGCCAGTGATCCCATGCTGGTGCATGTGTGTTCTACATCCCTCTCCTGCAGTCATGACAGACTTCTGTTGATGTTCATATTGAACCTCTGAATCCTTCATGACTGGAAGCTCTTACTAGTTGACTGAAGCTGGCATAGGAGTTTTATTAGTTTTCTCAGTCTAACATATTTGTATGTTCTCTTTCTTTGTAGTTTAGATTTCCTAGTGTTTTTCATTTTGTTTATTTATGTAGTCTTTTTTTGGTTAAACTTGTTCTAAAATCAACTTGGAAATGTGTTTGGAGACCATTTTCAATGGGTCTCCTGCATTTCGGTACATTTTGTGAACAGAAGCTTTGGTTGCCTTTGTTCTGGTCTATTTTTTCAAAATTGTTTCTCTAGTGAGCAACTTTGGAAAATATAGTGACTTTAGAACAATAGATAGGTTTGCTTATAGCCTTGGATGATAGGAGTTGGTTTCTTCCTTTAGAGCAAAAGCAATTGATAGACATGGTTACTGTCCATTAAAGATAATTCAGATTCCCAAATTATAGGGCTCCTTTCCTTGTCACAACCCACTGTGTATGCATATCTGCTGGCCATATTCAGATTCTGTGAGAATTGGGACCCAGGAAACTGGAACAAGAAAATGCTGGTATTTTGGCTACTTTTATTGCTGTAATAAATTCCTGTGCCTCTGACTCAGGAATCTTACTTCATCTGCCAACATGTGAGATTGTGGTAGACTGTGTTAGCTTGAAAGTGGACTAAAATCTCAGATCCTTCACAGTTCTTGTGTAGGAACTCTGATAGCCATTTTTTTGCTTATTTCATAAATGGCTATCAGAGTTTAGCTCAGAAATGTCATTTTATACATATTTTTCATTAAAATGACCTTATTTGTATATGAACATAGCATGGATTTTTCAGCTGTTTTCTTAGGTTAAAATAAAGGTTTGGATAATTTGTTATTTATATTTAATGACTTTGAAAGCATAATGTTATCTGTTTCTCATGCATATAAGTTTATACTATATGTATGTGTGGATATATATGCACATATACAGGTCATGTGTATTCATTCATGTTTTGAAAAATCCAGTCTTGCTTTGCTTAATTATATGGTTTTAAGGATTCCATGTATGCGTGTCATTAGAATGTATCATTTGCCTCTATTCCAGAATATTGGAAAGAAGATGACCTGCCAAGAGTTCATTGCAAACCTCCAAGGGGTAAATGAGGGTGGTGATTTCTCCAAGGATCTACTAAAAGTGAGCAATGAAATATTTGTTTTTAAAGATATGCTTATATTTATCTTTTCTGCTTATTTTTTAATCTAAAATAAACAGACCAAGGATCACTTAAGCATTTTGGTTTTGGTTTTTGGTTTTGTTGATGATATTTCTATTGGACCTCTTAATGTGTCAGTCTGCAAGTACCCTTCAATGAATAATGCTAAAAGTTCACACTGTAATTAATAATTAGTGATTCAAATAATGGGTAGTTTTTATTTTATTTGTAAACATACTGCCATAACTTGAGAAAGATCACAAAGGTATATTTACTATGGAAACAAAAAAGCATTTACATACTATAATGGAAGCTGTATTCAGTTCCTAGTTACAGAGCCACTTAGGTTGTCTCTGGAAATCTGAGTAATGGTAGAACGTCTGAATTATTTGTAGTCAGCTTCATTAATGGTAACAATCAGCATGTTGTTCCCTATCATTATTTTCAAGGAGGCAACAAAATCAGCTTTACAATTCATAACATTCTACAGCAGTATAATGAGATGATATTCATTTCTTAAAGTGAATACAAAATAGTGATTGATAATGGTTGTATTTTAGAAGTTCAGTATAAGATGTGTATGTTGACAATGTGAGCTTTACAGATTTCTGTTTGATTCTAGCCTTTTTAAAATCTTTGTACATGTGTAGATTTCTTTGTCAATTCCTTTGAATTTTCTAAGGGTGACACGTATGATCTGGAAAAAGTACCAGTTGAAAATAAGTCCTTCATTATGTTTTATGAAATTTTTTAAATCATATAAAATATAGAGAGTTCTGTATTTTGAAAGACATATATATATATATGGAAAGTGAAAAAAGGCACAAGAATATGGTATTATGTGATTCTCTTTATTGACTTTAATCACAGCTTATTAAAAAAATTACACTATGAAAAAAGCAGGATGAAAAGTAGCTTCAGGTTACTATATAAAGAAGGTATTTTTTAAGTTGTTTCTTTAAAGGACAAATGCTGCCATTGCTGAAGCTATGGTTCTGAGTGAGAAACGGTATTGGATTGTGACATAATAAATATATTCTTTATATCCATTGAAGATGTACTATAGACACATGTTAATAAGCCTTTTTTCAGCTTAGTGGTATTAACCTGGAAAATAATGCAGTCTTTCTAAGATAAGGATTGGTGAGGCTTTTACCAAGTTATGTCAGAAATGGAAATTGGCAGGAAAAAATTTCATAGTGAAGCTTTTAGATTCTATTGGTAGGCTTGTGGTAACCTGCATGACTGTGGATGAATTATTGGGCAGGTTTAGAGCATGTTTGATGAGCTGTCTGAAACCAAATGTAGTTAACATACAGTCCAGTGGCTGCCATTCACCTTGGGTAAACATATGTTCTTTGATTGACTCTGCCAAGAATTTTCTGGATGATTGTTACAGTTGTCCATTGAGATCATGTTTATAAACCTCAGGGAGGAAAATATTTATTAAACTCTTTTATTTACTGTAGGAAGATGACAGTGAAATGACACTGAAAAATGACAGTGGTTTTTTGCATGGAAACTGTCAAGTAAAATACCGATTCCCTTTCATAGCAAAGATTCCAGCCACTCACCCACCTGAGATGGGGGAGTGTTCCATTTCAGTAAGAATCTGGATTTTACTGCAGATTCCATCTAGAAAAAGTTTTCTTCAAACCATTTTTGTTTCATTTCTCTTTCCCATGTGGCTGTTCTTTTTTCCTTTCCTGCCCTCTGGCTCTTCCCTCCTCCTCTTTTCCCTCCCTTACTCCTCTGGTTCTGTTTCTGTTTTTTCCTTTCTCTTATACTCTTCTTTTTGTCTTTCTTCTTTTTCCTCTTCTCTCTCTCAAACTCTCTCCCTCACTCTCTTTCTCAATGGCTGTTTCTTGATTCTCTTCGGGGGTAAATTACTAGGTGGAATGTTGATTTGAACTATTGTGGAAAATGACACATCACACAGATAAACACAAAACATTTGATATTACATTACAGATTCTGAGTAACCTAACCCCTCTCAGTCTTCTTCTACCTTCTCTCCAACTTGAAAATTGCAGGCATGTACAATCAGTTTATGAGGTGAGATGCCTAGAGTTACATGGATTAAACTGAGGCTTTCATTGCTACATATAGATCCTATTACTTTTAGGTTTCTTTGGATCAAAAGTAACATTTGGATCTGTGTCTATTCAGATTTCTTTGGACTGGCAGTAATATTTCACTTAATGTCTATTGTCAGTGTGGTTGGGTCATAGGAAATACTTAGTGAAGGCCCTGTGCTTTCATTGGGTATTGTGGACTTGGAGAACATGCTGGAACTAATTGGGCACCTTTCCTTACAAATCACTAAGAAAGATGGGTGGTTCTTTTTCCCTTAAAATGAACAGTTATTCCATATTAAAATTAAAATATAAACTGATTCTACTGTTCTCAACAGAAATGGTTATCAAAAAAGATAAACTTTAATGTATTTAAAAGTATGAAAGATGAGAAATTTATTTTAAGCCTTCACTTTGGAGACTTCAGTTATTTAATATTTTGCTTTAATTTTGCCTTAGACTTTGTGAAAGGGATAGATGCTACTTTGTGCTTTTTTAAATAATTTTCAGTTCCACTGCAGTGTCCCTTTTGACCTGATGACCTAAGAGATAAATGAGTGCTTTGTGCAAATAAGAATGTTTCTCCCACAAGTTGCTTTGAGTATACATTCTAGATGCCTATATTGTAAAGTAGAATTAGCTGAATACCAAAAAGACAACCAGTTATAGAATATTATTTAGGTTCTTTAAAGCTGTCATCTGGCTGGGAGGATGTGATGTTTGAGAGAGGCCTTTGAAACATAGGTACCATTGTAATAGTAGACTTATTTTGTTTTTTAGTTAGATTATTATTGTATTTCATTTCCCACCACCTTTCTCACCCATAAACATTAATGATCTCTGTCATAAGTACCTTTATTATTTCACCAAACCAGGATAGCAATTCATTTAACGAAATATGCCAAACAATCTGGCGTGTTTTATGGCTTGCATAGGAACTGCCCATCGCACTACTTGGATGTGGTTTGTGCTTAAACATCCTGGAGGGACGATGTGGAAGAGGAGGGGGAAGGGAGGCTCTGCTTTGGGTTCTGATAGACTTAATAAGACATTCCTAAGATTTTATAATAAGTAATAAAACTCTTACACGAATAGAGAAGGATGAGAATGTAAATGTGGGCCAGCTCTGGGTTGGAGACTGAACTTTTTGAGAGACACTGTAGTGTGATGATTATGACTATGGACTTGGGAGCTATACTGACTGGGTTCTAATCCCAGCTCCCCTCTCTTATTAGTTTAGGGATTGTAAGCAAATTCACTGAAACTCTGTCTCTTGATTTCTTCATCTGCGAAATGGGTGATTTTATTAGTACCCACCTCATCAGTTTTAATAATTGAATGAATTAACACATAAAGCCTTTAGAATTCTAGCATGTAATAAATGCTGTATGTGTTAGCTGTCATAGCTTTTTATTTTTAATATTATTTTATTCTTAACTTAGCTTGAAGTGGACTGGAAAGGGCCTGCATCCCTTTAGTGTTTGGATCTTAGGTGTTTTACAAGTACTAGGCCACGTGGGATTAGCATTAATTCACAAGACCTCTGTTACCCATCCTTTTTTAGCCTAAGCATACACATTTTCTTGCTCTTTTAAATGGACCATCTGTGACCTTGACCTTGAATATTTCCTCTTTCTGTGGTAAGATTTTTAACCCTTATCATTTATAGCTTCCTTTCTTTCCAGAGACTTGTTGATTCCAAAGAATGGCCATCAAAATTTTCTGCAGGATACATTTGTTCCGTAAAGTCTGTCTTATCATCGTGGAGGCCCCTGAAAATGAACCTTGGTTAGCCATATGTTTTCCTTGCCTTTTTACTTTGTTAACAATAAGCGATTTCTCCTAGATCTTATCCCTCTTGCCACACTTTTATATGTGATATTTGGTTTGGATCTTTGAAGTTGCAAGATTGGAGGTCCTGAGCTTTCTTACCTAGGACTATTTGGAGAAAATATAAGAGAGCAGTTGGACATCTAGCAACCTTTCTTTTTTCCCCAGTATTTTTCACCACTTCAAATAATTTATATCTCCATTAATATCCCAGGATTATTTGGGATCATCAAAGGGGACAGGAACTAATTTGCTTCCTCAAAGGTTCATCAGGATTCCAGGACCAGTTTAAGTTTGGTCTTAAACTGTTCTGTAAGTTTTATATCTTCTGAGTTTCCTATAAATCTCTATTCTTGGTTTTAACAGAAGAGCTACATTTTTATCTTCATTCTGCTTTCCATTTCTAACCCTGGCAGTTGATAATCCTTCATTTCTCATTACATATAGGGGGAAACACAGGAACTTTGGGAGATGGCCACCAGTTATATTATATTTAGAGGGAAAGTAGCCATTTCAAAATATATTTACATGAAAGCATGAAAGAAGCAATGGGAAATAAGGCAAAAAGAGCCGAAGAAAAGTGTCATGTAAACATATAGGATGGAAGGTAAGTTATTGTCTGCATAATTTTATTTTGGGGAGATTCAGATTCAAGATTCAAGATTTTGGCAATGAAACATGAAACCCTGGTTGTTTTCTAACTCAACTTTCTTATTGCCACCTACCATGTGATACTCAAGTAACATTCTTAATATTTTTATCCTTGTCATAGTTAGGTCTTTAAGTTTCTTTTTTCTTGAGCAGCAGTTGAATTCAATAGGTGCCAAAGGAAATTAGAAAAAAATTATCTAAAAAAATGTCTTAAGAACTTTTATACCATCTTAATGATGAGAGAGTAGAAACAACAAACCACCCACAACTTTCAAAATGATTCTAATACAACTAAAAAAAAAACTGAATACATTTTGCAGAGGTTTTGAAACATAACTCCTTTTAAATCTGCTTATGTACACAAATAGCTTTAATAATAGCTCTGGTTACAAGGCAGTGTCACTGGAAATAAAAAAAAGCAAGGT